GGCAATCGCCGAGGTTGCAGATCCAGAGGTCCATGTCCTTCACGAAGGCCAGAACTTCAACGGCACCCGAGGACACCTCCATGTCGTCCGGTTTGGGAGCTGCAGCCAAGACTGTCTTCATGAGCCTTTCGTCTGTGTTTCTGAAGGCCAGGCGAATGGACGTTCAGGAGGATGTGGCAGGGTTTCGAATGTTCACGGTTATGATGGGCACGCCGGAGAGGAAGCAGGAGCCCTGCTTCCTCTCCGGCGTGCCCATCATAATCGTGAAAATCGAACCCTGCAACATCCTCCTGAAAAGTCCACAGCATCTTCCATCTTCTGCCTTTCCCTTGCCCAGGCATGGGCAGGTAAAGAACTGATTCAACAGCCACCACATGAGCTATACTCTTAACTCCTAGTATCCCCCTTAATAACCTCTATAGTAGTCCCCTATATAATCCCCTATATAAACCCCTAAACCCTAATCCCTAAACCCTACATTATCCCCTATGTGTAACTCCCCTTTAAGGAGTTTAGACTATGGCATCACGTGGCTGCAGGTGCTACGGCAAATGCTTAGCGCTGGGTAGCTGGGAGCCTCGCAGCATTCGCCAAGACTTCATACAAAACCTAAAGAACGGGAAACTACTATAGTATATTGGGGTTATAAAGCTGCTATAGTATTTTGGGGTTATAAGACTACTATAGTGTATTGGGGTTATGTTGGGATAATGGAAAAGAAAATGGAAACTACTATAATAGGAAAGTTGAGCTGCCTGCTTGGGTCAGTTCTTCAGGTCCTGCGCCCGCACTAAGTTGCACGAGGCTGCGGCGGAATGCCCATTTTGGGCTATCAGGCTGGCCACTTGCGTAGCGGTGGGCCTCGGGTTGTGCCAACATGTTCGTTAGTTCGCGTCCTCTACATTCTGGCATTCTGGCGCTTAGTGCTTTCAAATGGCTCGTCACGCTCTTGTATCTCTGCTGTGCACGCCTCTTGTTCGCCAAGCGCCTGGAATGAATCCAGGATGACAAAGCCTGACAAGAAGATCATCACGCCCGCCTCAGCGCCTTCGACTGCTTGTTGGGCCTCTTTTTCAGCCTCTGGCTTTGCACCTTTGGCCTTACCGCAGGGAATAAATGCAGCATAATGCAGCAAAGGCCAAGCAGCGGCTCTGGATCTGGTTCGGAGGCCTTGGCCCGTCGTGCTGCTGCCTTTTCAGCAATCTTCTGCGCCTCGAGCTCTGCTCTTCTCCCAGCAGGTGAGTGTTCGCATTCTGAACGGTCACGTCAGCTGCTAAGGAGGCAACTCGCAGCTCTTCCGCGGAGGGCCCGGAACGACGAGCTGCTGCCTCGGTCGAACTGGAAGTGGCGGTGCATGAATTTCGTAGGTTGGACAGGCTCTGAGAGAGTGACCTTCTGTGCTAAACGCTGCAGCCTCGCTGCCTCCCGCGCCTCACGCCTCTGCCTCAGATCTTACTGGACCGCGTGCGGCACAGCAGACTTTGCCACACCTCTGTGCAACGAATCTTGCAGCAGCACAACTTAACAACCTTAGTCTGTCTTGCAGCTGGGCAGCTTTCGCTTTTGGCGGGCCTCTACACCGGTGACATCGTCGTCCTGCAGCATTCTGCTCGGCTGAGCAAGGGCAGTGGAAGCTGCAACTGAGCAAACTCTTCAGATTCGGCAGTCAAACTATGAGGTCCGTCTTACTGAACCTAAGCAATGTGCTTCGTGGACGTGCTCAGACATGCCTCGACGCTTTCCAGGTCATCCTGCAAAGAAGGTCTGGTCTGGCTATAGGCCAGGAAAACTTTGAAGCTGCCGGCGTCAGCTTCTGGTGAGAGTCTCCGTTATGGTCTATGGTCTATAACAGACTGTAGTGTATTAAAATTATGGGCATCATACGATACTACTGCACTATACTGCATTATGCTATATATTACATTATATCATCTAGCTTGATGCAGCTAGGCAGGCGCTGGCCTCTGGCGAAGCACCGCCTGTGGCCTGCAGAGATATGAATTCAGCTGCGAGTAGTTCTTCGCAGGTAAAACTGGGCCGAACAAGGTTCACTACACCCTAAACCCTAACAGGAATCAGTTCGAAGATTGAATATCATTCCTTATTGGCAATCTACGCCACCTGGACTGTGGAACCTGCAAAAAGACAAATGAGCTAGTTGTTGCGTAGGAGTCAGGCTATGGCCTCTGACTTTGAAGCAAGTCTCTGTGAAACATCTTTTGGCAGGGGCAAATTGGTCTAGGGATGTCTAGGGTTTAGGCTGGTTTTTGAGCCCCTAAACCCTAAACCCTTCCAATGGGGCAAAACTTATGCCAAGAGCGCGTAGCAAAAATGCCACTGTCAGTCGACCCGCAAGATCGACTTGGTAGTTTCCCAAAAAAGGGGGACCTCAATAAAGACCCCAAAATACTGTAATTCTTGTTATAGGGACCCCCGAAAGGGTACCCCTAATTTAATTTTGGGAAGCTGTAAACTTGTAAACCCTCAACCCTAAACCCTACATAACTCCTCTTCAAAAGGGGGTTGTTCAATATTCCTTTTCCGGAAAAGGGTCCCGGGTCCTTCGCGTACCATATAAGTTGGACAACAGATAACCCTTCGAGAGTGTCGGTGTTGGGGGGGGGATTAAGGGTCCGCGGCCGCTTGCCCCTTGCCCCACTTGCCCCACTGGACCCACTTGCCCCCCTTGCCCCACTCGACCCACTTGCCCAACTTGACCCACTTGCCCCTGTTGCCCCACTTCGCCCACTTGCCCCACTGAACTTGCCCCACTCGACCAGCTTGACCCACACTTGCCCCCCTTGCCCCCCTTGCCCCACTCGACCCACTTGCCCCACTCCAAAACCGAACCCCTGCCCCACTTGCCCATTCGCCCCACTTGGGCCAGTGGGTCAAGTGGCTCTTGTGGGGCAAGTGGGGGCGAGTGGGGCAAGTGGGACGGACGCTTTTAATGTTCCCCCCCCGGCGGTCGCAATGAACCCTCTTGTGAATCCTTTCGCGCACGTTTCAGGCACCATTTTTTGCCTTTTCAACAACCCATGATCGCAGCGCATATAACTTTTAGATAGAGGTTCTTGAGTAACCCCAAAATCTGCGAGACCCCCCCCTGAAATGGGATCCCTGATTTTAGGAAACCCCCGCCTCAGACTCTGATTCGCTGTGACTAGCAAGTGCAATGTCCAGGGACGGTATGCTACTTCACGTAACCGCTGCTCCGCCGCTGTATCAAACTAAATATTCTAACGCAATATAGTAACAGTATGATATTGTATTATAGTATAGTATGATATAGTAAAACCTGATATAGAACAGTAAACTACAGATTAATGTAGCATAATTCAATAAGGTTCTGCGGGGTACCTTGACGCCTGCGTTTTCACACATGTCCATCTTGAAGTACTTGCAGTGCCAACCATATGAAAGACTATAGGATCTATCTTTTCGGATGGGACTGCTGTGGGCCCATACTTTGTGACGTGTTGGCACGACTGATGCCAAAGAGCAAGCCTGTCATGGATGTGCACATTTCTTAAGGAAAGCATTTCCCATAGTGAATGTCGCATATACTTGCAACATGTGTTACAGATGTAAACGGGATTTCTGAGATCTTAGGTTGAGAAATCCTTCTTAGATTTGAAGCAAAGTTTTTAACGTATTCATTTATCAAAGTCAATGTCGCGAGGGCTTTTGTAATGGGGTTTCCATAAGAGAATTGGGGAATTATCGTGCAAATTCTCAACCAATGTGCTAATGGTTTCAGAAAATGCAGGGCCAAGGATTCGAGACTTCCTGGTTAAATTAGACACACTGTGGTGCACAAACAAAGTACGGAAATTTCGATTCTGGCGCAAAAAAACAACTTTTAGACTCTTTGCGTACTCAGAACGTGGAGAAAATGTAAAATTCTTTCACTCACATGAAAATGAAATTTTCTAGGAATATTTTCCTGTACAAAATACAGAGTGCTATAAGTACTTAAAGCCCAGATCAACCAATAATTCCTTAACCTCCCTTCTCACGAATGGAATAGAATTCTCTCCTCTCCACAATACAGATACAAGAGAAAAAGAATTGACTTGAGAGAACTGGAAGCTCCAGTTCCTTGCAGGTGTGTTTCTTTGGATCCCATCGAAACCCTAAACCCTAAACCCCTAAACCCTAAACCCCTAAACCGTAAACCCTAAACCCTTGAGTTGAATCCTCATATGGAGAAGGTTTCGCGCTTTTAACTAAGACACACTTATTAGCAATTCCAAAAAAATCCTTCAGTTTACCTAGTAGACTTTGTATAAGGCCCTGTGTAGAAGCAAGCGAATGTTCAGAAGAGAGATCTCTCTTCTCTTCTCCTCTTGAAAAATATAAATAATAGCTGCGTGAACGTAAAACATCGATAAGCTCGACAAAAAATGCGATAGAACACAGGGGCCGTTCTAGAACTAGAAGAGTGCTTCAGAAGAATAATGATATCAAAGGAGTCTAGGTCTGCTGTAAGCATAAATGGGAAGACACATAAAAATACAACAGAGCATGTTCAACAAATCAAACAATCCAGTCCCGTCGTCCCGGGGCTTCAGAAATCTGAAAATGACTAGAGAAACCAAAGAGAAGGGGTAAACATAAAGACGGTACCACATTTCTCGACCCCCAGAGAGTGGCACCATCTTTGCTTTTTGTCTAGAGTTTTTTGCTCTTTCTCCATAGTTGTTGAGCTCTACTTACATGCAAGAATATTGGAGACAGCTCTGCCACCTACCTCGACTCCTAATGCAGCATACATGGTAAAGGACTAAAATGTGTAAAAAAAACATAGGGGTCGAGGTACTCCGCGGAAGCAACAATAAACATACTACAGTATAGCTACTCTTCCTTCGTCCTCCTCTCAGCCTTGAGCTAATAGCTTTCATCTTCTTTTCCATTATCCCTATATATGACCCCTATATCCCTATATAAACCCTACAACCCCTATATGGCCCTATATCCCCATGATTCCCCATGTAAACCCTATATGAGGAACTACCAGCTGTGGCTTCTGCCTCTGGAGCACTTCGCGCAGCAGTCATGGAGCCGCGCTGGACAAAGTTTTTGAACAATCAGAATTAAACAGCTATACCCTAAACGTAGTCTAAACTCCTACAATCCCCCTATAACAATCTCTATATAGTCCCCTATATAACCCCCTCCAAGGAGTAGACTATAGACTATAATAGCTCACATGCATATGCAAAAAACTAACAAGTGTGATAGCAATAAGTCAGTCTGGAAGATGTGGGCTTCAGCATGCCTTGGTGCTGGGTGGCTGAAGTGAGTTGAAGCTAGGCTTCTGTGCCAACCCGACGGGACATCTTCTCTAAATGCTTTAGTACGGGTGGGAGCGAGTGATGGCTTAGCTGACCGGAATTTTCTGTCTTTTGCTTGTCCCCTTTGCAGTGGAGCTACAGATTCAGGAAGCTGCAGGCAGACAAGGAACAGGTGCGCTCTCTCTGCTGGACATCGCTCAGCCAGTCAATGATGCGCCGGGCTGCGCCTGGACACATGTTCAAACTTCCTGCAGCGCATGCTTGGCTGTGAATCGTGAGTATCAGCCCTTTTCGTCCGCGACAGGCCACTAAGCGAGTTCGGTCAGCGGCAGTGCCGTCGGTAGAAGGTTCCTGACATTCTAGCCAAGCTCTGGCCGGAGTGGTCAGATGCGCTACACGTCGCAGGGAACACATGCAGGTGTTGAACCGCGGAAGCGCGGTCCAATGTGCTGAGCCCTTTGTATGCGCTGCGCAGTCTCCAGGCATGCAAGCCAACTCGTGCAGGTTTGACAGCAAGCTGTGCGTCGTGCGGATGCTTTCTGTGAATTGGCTATACCAATGATGCAAAGGTTGCTTGCGCGCCTGTTCTCCACTCTTGTAGTGGCTCCAGGTGAGACGCACAGCAATCCGCAACTAGCTTTCAATCTTTCTCTCCGCTGGTGGCCTCATGCATGCCAGAGATAACGTCGAGAAGAAAGCAGGAGCATGCTCGCCGACATGATCTGCAGACTTCTACCAGTAAGCCGTGCTGTCTGAACAGAGCAAACCTGTCAAACCTGTCTGTAGTAGACAGCTATGCTTGGTGCGTCTCGGTGCTACCTCTTCAGCAACAAAGGTGCGCTCGTTCGCGGAAAAATGAAACCCCATCGCCTGCGTTGGGCCACCCAAGATATCTGCCTTGACATCTGACCTCACGAGCACAGCTTACCTGCTGAGATGTCACATGAGCCATAGTCTAAGCTCCTAGCATTTCCCAGAAGACTCCCCTATGTAACTCCCATAGCTCACATGATTGACTGCACGGCACCCCAGAACTCCTGAAGGATCCAAAAATGGAAATCCCTTAAATGACCCCATTACTATTACCTAGAGCAATTCCAATTTTTGGATCCTTGGGGTCCGGGGCTGAGCAGGCTACAGCTTTGCATGTAACCCCTATATATATATTATATACCCTACATAACCCTATATAATCCCATATAAACCCTACACCCACATAAACCCAATATAACCCCTAGAATAAGGCCACCACGGCTTTGCGTGTGTAGAGGCCCAGAAGGAGTCATCCTCCTCCTCGTCGAGGCCGCCCTCCAGATGCAGATCGATGAAGAACCAATTTGAGGGTTCCCAAATTTAGGGGTACCTTTGAAGGGTATATAGGGGATATAGGGGTTATTTAGGGGTTCTATAGGGATATGGAAAGTTTTAGGGTTTCCCAAAAATAGGGATGCCTTTAGCATCTTGGGGCCTTCAGGGATCCCCATATATGAAAACTACCTGTGATGAATGTGTAGTTAGTATTACTCAAATTCAGCATCACACCTCGTCCGCCCACACGTCTTTGCCCCCCGTGATCTTGGAGGTCTCGCCGTCTGCATCCTCTACCTGGGACAAGTGCATCTTTCCTAGCCATTCCCGAATAATGCGGCACCTGCCTGCTTGTAGGCATATCTTTGGCTGTTTGTATGTGGCGCCCAGAGGAACATGATGGCTGCCAGTACCTATGATCAATCACCACCTAAGAAGAATGACACAAGATGGAAGACATGTGGCGCACCATGCAGAAGAGGATGTGGGAAACTCCATCTGCGAAGAACCATTGATAGTGCCATCTCTGACTTATGCTGCGGGACAGGTCGAAGAGCTGGTAGAGCCTCAGCTATTACTATGACTATTACTATGGTTCCTATCACTATTAAATATTCCTATTATCATCCTTACTATCACTGTTGCTATTACTATCACTATTACTAATGTAACTGTTATTATTCTTCTTATACTTTTATTACTATTACGATTATCATTTTACTATTGCTATTCTTATCCTTATGCTTGTTATTAGTATTCTTGTACTCTTGCGTGCAGCAAGTAGCCAGAGCCATCGCGCAAGCTTTGCTGTTCATGAGAGGGCCTTTAAAGGGTATATTATGTAGGGGAATATAGGGGTATGTAGGGACATATAAGTGTTAACGGTTTCCCAAAATTAGGTGTACCTTTTAGGGGGTCCCCATAATAAGGGCTATCATGGATTCTAGTATTATAAACCTACACCCTAAACCCTACACCCTAAACCCTATAGTATATTGGTTCCCAGGAGAAGGATTGCTTTGGGAAACTGCCATGAGTCGCTGGCAAGCTCAAGGAGGCCAGGCTCAGAGCGGCTACCAGAATCTTCCACCTTCACTGGGTCGCTTTTAAGGAACTTAATCTTAGTTGCTATAGTGGGGAAACCGTATGCATTACTATCTATACTCATTATGGTAACTTAAGTTGAAGTTTCTTAAGAGCAACCCAGTTCAACAGTGTACCGCAGAAGGTGCAGGTCCTCCTGACAACATATTCAAATATACTATAATGTATTCTAACCTACTATAATCGACAAGAATTCTGGGCGAACCGCAGGCGCTGGAAAAGTATCAGCCTGGCCAGGCATTGTCATCAAGTGCCCTTCTGTTTCTCAGTCTCCCCCCCCACCCAGGGGTTCCCAAAATAATGGGTTATAAAGGGGTTTAGTGTTATATAGGGGTAACAGAAATAATGGTATGATCCCAATATAGACCCCGATGTAAGTCTAAGGCAAAGTAGCAACACATGCTCGGTGCACTTTTCTACCTGCTTGCGCTCTGCAAGCACCTCTATCAAGGAGGACCTCATTCAGCTCTTTTGTGTCTCCCATCAGGTACGAGCTACGGACTAAATTCAGGTTGGGGGGAACCTATAGGGGACTATATTGGGGTTTTGGGGGGGACCTATTAAGGGATATACTACAAATTTAGTCCAGGGCTCGGCAACGGAAGGGGAGACGTCTCGAAAGCAGCATGAGGAGTAAGAGCTTGACAGCGCTGTGAAAATCCAGTAGAAGATGATGCCTGGAGAGTCGGGTTGCACACTGCTTGACTCAGCATCTTCTTGCTCAGCCGAGCTCGACGCCATTCAGCAGGGCTACCTTATCTCTTCAATGAACAATACCCTGCGCAGTTACCGTCTCTTGCTGGATCAGAAGAGGTATGCTGTCGACAATCGTCTCATGTACACTGGGGCTCTGAGGTAGGAGCCGGCAGTAGGCAGAGCATGACAAAAGCTATGGAAAGGGAGTGGCTGTTCCTGAGAAGAATTCGTCGCTGCAAGGAAGCTTCAAGCCAAAGCATCCACAAGTCCTGAATGACAGAGCTGATTCGCGGACAAAGTCCAGAACGATGTACAAGAAGGAGAGCCCCTGGACCTGGTACACGCACCAATCTTGTGCAAAAGAGAGCAGCCAAGGACATGCACAAACTATTTCGAACTGATCTGCTACCAACTCACGCTTATTTTTGTTGTTTCAGCTGAACTGGCTTTTTGCAGTCTGGCCGGTGCTGGCTGGCATCGAGCTTTGCAGACAAATTTGCTTTGTCCAACTTGCGCGTCATTCAAAGATGTTGGGCCAGGTGTCGGCAAATTTTCTTCCAGAATTGGTCAACATGACCCGCTGATGACATCAATGCATGCAGCCTAGCAAGCTTTCAAACATGTACTAGCCAGGACAATCGCCCGAAACAAGCCGATGTTAGGAGAAGTACCCATTCAGTTTCCTGGCCTTGAGGATCGTTGGCTGATCCAGGTAAGGGCGCGTCACGCCCCACCCCAGGGACGCCACCAGAACAAGCATGTAGGAGAATATTGACCTCCAAGCGAGAGAGAAGCATGGCGGCTTTCTGAATATTACTATTACCATTACTACTCTCCTACTACTACTACTACCACTACTACTACTACTACTACTGCTGCTGCTACTACTACTCCTACTACTACCACCACCACTGCTATTTCTAGTAATAATTATTGTTACTATTATTACTATTAAATTGCTATTTTGGCTTCTGAAAACTGAGTCTGCCACTTCACTACCGTGGCCAGGATAGCCAGGACAAACACGAACCTGTGCAAGCGCTGCAATCGGAGCTGGCAACCAATGAGCCAATGATTATATATATATATCATATAGGGGTTTATAGGAGCTATCCTCCTTCATAATCCCTATAATAGTCCCCTATATAACCCCGTTGTGGAGTTTAGACTCTAGCTACCCTAAACCCTAAATCCTAAACCCTAAACCTTGTGCTCAAAGCGGCCTGCCCCGCAGTCCAGATTCGTTCCAGTCCATGAAGAATCTCCATTGGAGGAAGGCCTCCACCTTGCACGAGTATATGCTGCACCATAATTTGTAATACTAGGGTTATACTGGAGGTTAGGGATAATGGAAAATACATGGAAACTACTCTATTATCATAGGGCTATATAGGGGTAATATTACCTCATTGGAGGAAGACCCCACCTTGCACGAGTTGCGTTTTTTTTGGAGCTCAGCTGATTCTATTCCTTATACAAAATACTATGCCATACTTTATCCCAAAGGAAGATATAATCTTACTACATATTAGCTGCCGTAGCATCCCTAAATGCATGGCGCTTCGGTATGCTTTGGTCTTACTTCATCTGGCAATTCGGCGGGCATACCAGACCAAGCAGGATGACGGCTGCGATGCAGTACCTTTGATAACCAAGGGAAATCCATGTCGCCGCCTTGTGGAAGCTGGTATTGAGGCCACTTGCTGTCCTAAGGCTGGGGCTGGATGTGAAATAGCTCCCTCCAGTACCGCAATGACAGGCACATCCAAACACTGGCCAGTGCGCAGTAGGCCTCAGAATGCAACACCAATACAATACGGTACCATGTCTGACACAGTGCTCCCCTACAACACGCAGTAGATGTGTTATGCATCCCGAGAGCAAGCGCTGCAAGGGTATGCTGCAGGAAGCTGTCACTTGCTGGGCTTTGCACTATGGAGAGCCATCCGTAGAATGGCATCTTGTAGTACCTGTCGACGCAAAAACTGCGGCTGGCACTTGGGCAGCTCGGCGGGGCACTCATTGCCAGGAAGGAACCCGTATGAATTCTTTGCAATGACACTGCCGCTGACCTCGAAGGAGTGAGCGTGTATGGCGAAAGCAAAGCAGGCTTGTTGTTAGCACTCATGCGGGTAATATCAGGGTTATACTGGAGGTTATATAGGGACAATGGAAACTAACATGGAAATTACTATTATATAATAGGGTTACATGGAAACTACTATATTATAATAGACTTATATGGAAACCACTATATTACAATAGAGTTGTATGGAGACTACTATGTTGTAATAGGGTTATGTAGGGTAAGATTACCCCATGGGAGGAAGCCTGCTAAAGATGCTCAAGTTTCTTCCCGGCCTCCCCATCTTTGAAGTCACCGCAGTTCGAGAAAACGAGAATGTAGACCCCGGTGGAGTTCACTCTCAACTCAGCGACAACTAGGGTTTTCCCATAATTGGGGGTACCTTTTTGGGGGTCCCTATAATAAGGACTATAATATTTAGGGGTCTATATTTGGGTCCCCCCTATTTAGGGAAACTACCAACTCTGCTTTGACAGGCTTTGCATAATCCCAAGGTCCTTCTGCCTGTCCCTTACATCCTCCACATAAGCCCGTCCCCACATAACATGCTCGTAGCTGGCAGTTGCTAGCCCTATCATTCACACTCTGGCGGATCCTCAAATGCACTCTACAGTACACCGCGCTGATTTTTGACAGGTGCTTAGATGGCTGGAGCTGAGGAGAACACCGGCAAGTCTGTGGCCGTGTCGAATGTCACAGTGTGGGAGTACCTCTTCGCAGGTGGATTCAGCGGCCCTAAGGGAGCTCTCATGATTGTCTTCAATGCTTGCTGCCCTGCCCCGTTGACGCAGCGCAGGCTACGTTGCCAGAAAGCTGCCAGGTCACAAGTTCACGTCGTCGTCTGAACTTCCTAGTGGCTTTTGCGTCAACCTGGCCGCTCGGCGAGACTACAAACTGAAGCTAAGGATTTAGGATTTGCAGTTGTCAGCTCACATGTTGCGCCCCGTTTTCAACCATGCAAGGAGCACAGCTTGTTCGCTTCTTTTGCGCGCCCTGCTTGCACCTGCGGCACTCGGCGATGGAAGGAATTCTCCGCCATCGAGGTAGCATGACGCCAGGATATGCTCAGCCGGCTGCATCTTCTGCGTTTGAGCAGAACTTGTCCCTGGCAAGGCTGACAGCTACCCGGCCCGGACCCTTTCAAAGTGCAGCTGGCGAGTTTTTTTGTACTGACTTCTGAGGCAAGAACGGCTGAATGAGTTTCCAGAAGCTTCTGTAGGGCAGGATGCTCAACTGCACACCCTGTCGATGGTGTTCATGCGAGACGCTGCCATCTTTAAATGGGTGTTTTCCCAAATTAGGGGTACCATTTTGGGGGTCCCCATAAGAAGGATTATAGTATATTGAGATCTACATTGGAGTCCCCCTATTATGGGAAGCTACCAAATGCATCTAAGGTAAGATTCTGAGCTCTGGGCAGTGTAGCCTCTAGCTTTATCAGCGTCTGCCGGGTCGTTGGCTGTAAACCTTCTGGCGCAAATATCATGTGGGTAGTTGTCAGAATTATGGTCCCTTCTTGGATCCCTATTATAAGACGGCACCTAATATTTAGGGTACCCCAAAGGGACCATAATTTTGACAAGCACCCATGTACCTAGAGTTGGCTGAAATCAACTCCAAGAGCTCGACATGAGATTGTGAAATCTCATCATTGGCTGGCCGAGCGTCCTGTCACATGCTATGCTACTGTTCTATTACTTTTGTCATGTTATTTCTATCTCACTATTAATATATTAGTAACAGAAGCAACAAAGCGGCTGGTTCCAAGGGTAGACGGCAGGAAATGCAGGGATTTCCTCTCAGGTGCATCCTGATGAGAAAACACCTGCAGACTGCAAAGCTGTCCAAATGAAACTTTCAAGCAGGGCAAAGGAAGTCTCAGCGTCAAGCATAAAATGCATACAGTGTATGCAGTGATCTTGGCTCTGGCAGAGGCACCTGCGCAGCTATGCGAGACAGACGGCATGGGATATGTGCAACCATTAGATGCCTAGACATTCCTAAAGATTCAGAAGAAAAGCATGCTTGATGTCGGGCCCTTTTTTCCAGGAGCATGATTTGCAACATCCTAAAGAGTGTACTCTCCTACAGTTCCGGGACGTTTACATCATCCTGATCTTAGCAAGCCTACAATGGCTCATGCGGGCGGCCTTCTCGAAGGTGTAAATCTGTCCGGCAGCGCCCCTGCAAATGCAACTGTGCGCTTCCAAACGTCCCTCAAATTACACGCCACCAACAGTCATACCTAGGTTATCTGTCACCTTTTTGCAATTCCTCACAGCAAGCATGCCAAAATGCTGTCGCTTTGAGCAGTTCCTGCACTTAGAAGGGTTAGCCTCTGACTGCCATTTCAAAAGTGAGTCCACTGCAAGCCTGAACAGCAACACGATCGAGAGGCACCATGCCGATCTACCTTACAAATGCAGCAGAATCCACAGAATCAAGCGACAACGCAAGGTTCATCAAGGTTCATCGGCACTGACTAGCTGTTATACATATTATAGTAGTTTCCATTTTCTTTTCCATTATCCCTATATAACCCCAATAATCCCTACAGTTTCCATTTCATTTTCCATTATCCCAATATAACCCCAATATAACCCCATATAACCCCAATATAGTTGATGGGCTGTCAAGTCTCTGCAGGGCAACTCTGTCTCTTGCTCTCTCCGGTACGGCTCAGGCTCTGACACATTGGTGGCACGGCCGGGAGCTCACTGGTTCCACGCCGTTTCCCACCCTCACCTATGCTCCTGTACTAGGGGAGCTTGAGATTCAACATCTTGCAGCCTTCGAAGCGGATGTGCTCCCGTCACTGTGCTAAGTGGGCAACTTCAACAAAGACCTGGCTCACACAATCTGTTTTGTCGCCTCACGGGCTACGCGGGGAGAGTTGGACGCTGAATGAGCCCCCATTCCTTCGACATCCTTCGACGCACTTCTTGTGTTGGTGCTGCTCAGGCTGTACAGGTCGTTGTGCAAGTTTACCGGCTACCCTGTTCATCACACATCTCCACAAAAGGCGGAAGTTGTGGATGTGCGTAGCCTGAAGACCGCGTCCATCCCCTCCGCCCGAGGCACATGTGCGAAGCAGGTTCTGGCTCAGTCGTCTGAGAGGGGCTTCAAGATGTTGACTCGTCCTGGCAGTAAAACATAGCAAAACTTGCTGAGCCACCTCCCAAGGGCACATAATTACAAGGGCGTTGCTCCTCTTTCGGATTTGGCTCTCGCGAGCCGGCAGTTGCCGAAAAGGTGTTGGCCAAGAGCCTTGAGACACTCCCTTCCAAACTCGTTCAGCCATGAGGATGACAGCTTGGCTTGTCCGGAATGAGGGAACTCTGTGCCCGACATCTCCTTGTCGAACTCGTTATCACAGAGTCGAGCCTTGTCCACCTCATGAAGAGCGTTGGACTTTCTCCTCACACACCTGATGCAAGGAGTCCGCCTTGCGGGCTTGCTCTCGTGCCTGAGCCAACATGCCATGCTGGGGCAGCTAATCCAGAAGCGGACACAGTATGGCTGAAGCCCTTGTCTTCATCAAGGCTTGCGCAGTTTCCAGCCGCTCTCGCTGTGCTGCTTGTGCTTTGGCAGCCTAAGCGGCGAAAATGCTGTAGTAACCCGGATATACTGCTGGACTTCAGATGCCGGCTTCTACACCTCCGCATCCCCACACCTCACAATTCATCGCACAGGATCTGACTATGCAAGCCAGATCGAGATGATCGAGAGATGTTGAAGGCGCCTCTACGTTGATGACGTCGAAACGGGTTTGAAGGCCTCCCTCCGCTGGAAGAAGCCTGGCAACCCACATCCTTTCCTTGCTTGAACACAAACCTGGGATAACCTGGGAAAGTCAATGGCCCACCTTCCAGCTGTGTAAGTCGCGTCCGACTCAAGAACATAGCAGTCCTCGAAGTCTGCATCTAACCACAACCTTGCAAGCGGAATGCATTGCAGGATCGACTTGCCACTTTCAATGTCAACTTATGGCATTCCTGCCTGCAGAACCCCTCCTGGCCGCCAAAGCCGAGCCCACGTGGATGATGCTTGTTTCGCCTAGCTCTGCGCATTGGAAGCCACCATGTGAGCCCAGCTGTCACTTGCCAATAAAAGCATCGATCTTACCATGCTCACAACCACGGCTCCTCAGCGCGTGGCGAATTGAAATACACATAGTTGCCCGTGCGGCTGGAGCTTTTGCAACTTGGTGTGCATTGCAACAACTAGTAAGTTTTTATCAGAACTTTGGGCATTGGGACTTTGGGGCCACAACATGCCAAAGGCAGGCTGCAGGGCAAACCTGGTCACTGCAAGGAAACCTATCGAAAGCCGACCGGTTGAACAATGATGTGGGTGGTTGTCAAAATTATGGTCCCTGTTTGGGTACCCTAAATATTAGTTGCCGTATTACAATAGGGATCCACAAAGGGACCATAATTTTGACAACCACCCATGTCGAGCTCCCCGCAAGAAACACTCCATGGACCCTCCGAACTTGCCGTTGCCTTCGACCCACGACCTGCCACGCCCAGGACTGGCCAGCTGTGGGCTTCAGACAGTTTGTAAGAACAACTTGGTAAAAGGAATAGTTTTATTCCCTTATTCCCTACTAACCCCAATATATGCACTATATCAATATAGTGGTTTCCATTTTTTTCCCATTGTCTCTGGGCCGCGAGGGAAACCACCCGCCGCTTCTCCGGACATGTTCCGGAAAGTGAACATGCTCAGTGCGGGATAGCAAGGTTCAAGATCACTGCTCAATGGACCAAGCCACCAATTACCTGTAGGTTGATGTCTACGAAGGAAGCCTTTCTATGTTGAGAAGCGTCTGAGAGTTTCGATGACACATGTCCAGCCGACCGGACGGCATTCTCATGTACATGGGCTGAGGATTCTGAATCTGGTGTGCGATCTTGATGCGTAAAATCTGGAGCAGATGTGTCCAAATGTATCACAACTTGGCCGGGCCCACGTTGACAGGGCTCCAAGCACGAAGTCCTTCGATGTTCGAATCAGGACCAAGGCGGGCCCTTCGTAAAAGGCAGCGCCCTGCAGCATTCGGTGATTGGAAGCTACGGTGCTCCAGCCCAAACTGCCATAGGAGCTAAAGTCTAAACTCTTAGTATCCCCCTCAATAACCTCTATAGTACTCCCCTCTATAACCCCCTGTACAACTCCCTTTAAGGAGTTTGGACTATAGCTCATATCAAACTGGAAGGCCTTGACAAGAGCATTGAAGGACATGCCGTCACACCAGTCACGGTACAGAGGTAGCCAGTCTTCAGACCTCTGAGGCAAGAAATCAGATGTTGAAAATATATGCCAACATATACCCTATAATACTACAGTAGTTTCCATGTTCTTTTCCATTTTCCCTATATGTCCCCAACTTATCCCTAATATATCCCGATGGGTGATACAGAAGATTCTGAGGCCGTACACCCTAAATCGTAGTTTCCATTTCATTTTCCATTATCCCCTATTTACCGCCCCCTATGGACATCAGGAGCCAAGCTCCCAAAGGCGCGCGTCGCTGGCCCGGAGCAGCCTCATTATTACTATTACTATTGCTGTTGTTATTATTAGTATTATTATTATTATCATCGACACTATGGCTGTTACTAGTTCTTATTATTCATATATCTTTATATATTATTATATGGTGTGGGTCGTTTTTCTGGCGCAGGAAAGGCGACATAAGGCGACAGCATGTCACAAGCAGAAAAACTAAGGAAATGGCAGCTGCAAACTTGCCTGGCAAATATGTCTGTCATGCAGCTTGGATGAAAGTGACCCATGGATATCTTGAGCTACGTTTAGATGAGCACTGCATACATTGCACTGCCTGCCATCGCAGACAGCACGTGCACTGTTGTTGTTTCCCTCAACAAGTTCATCAAAGGTTGTACAGGCGGTAGGCGTTAAGGACTAGCCATGGCATTGCCGTATCTCCAGAACCACCCGTGGTATCCCGTGGTTATATATGGTCTCCCAAACTCTACATCCAACATGTGCACTCACCTGAGGAACCCTGTATATACACTATACACGCATCAAAAACCAAGAATGAACATAATGAAGGCCTACTTCAAGTCACCAAGCGCATGAGCTATAGTCCAAGCTCGTAGTATCTCCCTGAATAACCCGTATAATACATCCCCTATGCCTATGAATGATCCCCTATATAACCTCCATTTCAGGAGTTTAGACTATAGGCTATAGTCTAAACTCCTGAAATGGAGGTTATAGCTCATAACCCCGTATATAATCTCAGTTTCCATTTCATTTTCCATGTTGTTATCCATTTGATTCTGTATTATTGGGGGTAATATATTCTTTTTCCCTACTAAGAACCTGCCGGATAAAGCTGCGATCAAGTGGCAGACAAAATGCGGCTCTCCAAGCCTGGAATGGCTGGCGGAGCCTCGTGGGTACATACAGGGTTGCTGAACTGATACCGTCCAGCCCCAAAGACATGACAATGCAGCGGGGACGTGCGTCTCGCGAAGACGTTTGCCAGAGTAGAGCCCGCATGCCCCATGCGCCAGGCTTCAAGAGGATGGATGATATATGATGGTTTCGTGGGAAACAGCTGACACAGCAATAAGTGAACCTCACGGCAACTCAGAAGATGCATTCAAGTAAGTTGTTTGAGGTGTCTGTAGCCGTTTATGGAGCCAGTAAACGCATGAGCTAGGGAGTCCTAGCAAGTCCTGAAGGGGGAGGAGGGAGGCAGGATGTCTTGCCAAGCGCAGGCAACAAAGACCCATGGCAATGTCGCGGGCAAAACCCCGGGTGATACCTCTGACCCCCACCGGTCATGCGAGTTAATCCGCTTCACCCCTTGTGAATCTGTACTACCGTGTTGAGGCATATAGAGTTTTGGGCACAAAACCCTTAGCAACACCACGAGAATGCTGACTGTTACAACTTCGTGTGCAAACTTTCCCCTGTGATTTCAAGCACAAACAGAAATTGTATGACGTCGGGGTCGCATTGTAGGAAGGTATCGGTTTTCGGGTTCACGGTAGAGGAATGCATCCCCATGGTAGCCTGAACAGCCCTTATAAATCCGCACGGAAAGAATTACATAAGGTAGAGTCAATTTTCAGGCCCATTTTGCCGTTCCCTATCAGCCAGCAGCAAGAAGAAGGATGTTGTAGCCTTGCTGCCAATACAGTCACGACATGGAGATGTCCCTCAACACATTCGGTGTTTCTGAGGTACCGCTTATGGTGCTCTACGGCACTGCACCTTGTCGCTCCGCTGCAGAAATTAAAGCCGAACCCCTAGAACACTTGGTAGTTTCCCAAAATTCGGGTACCCCAATCTAGACCCAGTATACTATAGCCCTTAGTATATGGATCCCCAAAAAAGCAGGGGCCTCGCGGCCCACCAATGTAGCCGCCAAGTTGGCTCCAACGGCTCTCGGCAGCATTGGCAGGTTGTCTGGCTGGAGCAGGATTTTACGGAAATTGCGGAAAGAGGACCGCACAAGCAGAGGGGTTTTGTCTAAAAACCCTAATTGAGGCATAGTCCAAACTCCTAGTATCCCTCTTAATAACCTCAGTAATATTCCCATGTCTAATCTATTCTAATCTTTTATATAACCTCCTTTAAGGAGTTTGGACGGCAGCTTACCTGAATAGCAATAACAATTTCAGTAATAACGATGATCATAACCCTTCATAATTACAACAATAACTTATACGGTGAACATGACACGGGTGCCTTGAAGCCATCGTGCCAAAGACTCGAGGGATGCAAGCTGCGCCGCAGCTGTAGTGACAGCTACCTCCCAGCAAATAAGGTGTGAAAAGATTTGGTAGTTTTCGAAAATAAGAGGACCCCAAAATACTCTATTCTTGAAATCCCTTTTGTGAATTCCCCAATAAGGTACCCTTAATTTTGGGACCCCCCCCCCCCTCCCCCCCATTTTGAGCGCTCTGCGCCTAATCCCGATAAACTACCCCATAATTATGATCCAAGTTTCCATTTCATCTTTTGTTTGATTCTCCACTATTGGGGGTAATATCCCTAAACCCTAAACAGTAACTTCCACTTTAGTTTCAGTATCCCAATATATCACAAACATCCCTATAGTATAAGCCCGATCCTGGGGATCCAACCATCTGGTCTGGATTGAACGGTACGGCTTGTTCTTGTCCTTCATCCTGGCACAAATTAGGGAGTTTTTTTTTTTGAAGCCAGCGGACTT